GTTATCTTTTATTTAATGCATTAGAGATAATTGTTTTAGCTATTGGTAGAGGATAGCATTGCCATGTGTTAAAAATTGCATGTGACTAAGCAATTGAACTGTTTATTAACCTATACATCTCATTATGCACGTCATGGATACTTGAAACTTTATGTTTTGGAAGAGATGTTTCGAAAATACTTGTATCATTTTGAGAAAAATGGGTGAATACCGTGTGGAATCTGGGTAGCGAGTGTGTTATGGTTAATTAAGTTGGCTTGTGTGTCCTTGGTAAAAGTTCATAAACCCGTACAGCTAGGTGCCAATCCTTCTAGATAGTACCGGTAAAATGGCAATAGTAGTGCTTATATAGCCTATGTTTACATGGGTGCCGATCCTGCTGGCGAAATTCTAGTGAAATGGCTATCTTGGTAGTGCTTTTATAGCCTACCTTTTATACACTTGCCTAGAGATTCCCAGTGTTTGTATTTATCACCATGTTTTCTATTTTAAAGGAAAGAATAACGGATTGTGATTTGAACTCTGGAAATGTACAAGCAGTGAATTTTCTATTTGCAATGGTGGTTTATGGAAGTGTTTTTTGGAAAGTGGCTTAACCAAATAAATGATTTTGATTGTAAAAAATGTTTTGATTAAACGAAAGGCATTAATGATTTGGAAAAGGGTTTATTGAATAAAGACTTGCTTTTGAAAATGAATTGAGTAATATATATATATATATATATTATAGCATCATGATCATTTATGCTAGTTGAACATGTTTAGTTTTTGAAATATACTTTACTGGGCTTTATGCTCACCCTAAGTGGCTGAAAACATTTTCAGGTGCATGGCATCTTTGGATATGGACATCGGGCATTGGATATGTGTTGGAGCTGAGTAAGAGTGCTCTGTTATTTATATGCTGTGAGCCATTTGTATTTGTTTAATAGGTCGAGTGCCATTTCTTGTAAAGGTTACACCTTTGTATATGATGTAAGCCTTTGGGCACTTCAATTATGTATGACATTACTGTAGGTTTTATATAAAGAGCATTCATCTCACTTAGATGTTGTATATAGGGTGTATGAAATCAGTTGAACACATATATTGTTTGACATTATAATATTCATTTGCATGAGAGATGTTACTTTCTTTTATCTTATTGTTGTCTTTTATTTATCGATTACAGGTTTATTCATGCAGGCCAGATCTCAGAAACCTGGGGCGTGACAGACCCTAATAATTCGGAACCCCATATCACTTCACGAATACAATGTGAAACGAAACTAAAATAAGAGTCCAAATCTGGCGAATCCATAGAAAATCCACTAATCACAAGAAATGCCAAACATGGATTGCATCACTAGACTCGGAGTTGCCACTTAATCTTTTGAGAAAACTAGGAAACCCTAACTCGTGCTAAAGGCCACTGTCCATCACAACCAAAGTGTCTCTATAACAACCTGAAAGTTTTTCTTCATCATCGCTCGAGCGACGAGTTGTTTGCTCGAGTGGTCTTGTAGGTCATCCAGTACTTTTGTAGGTCTAAGATTCTAGGAGATGTTGAGATTCGCTCGAGCGGTATGCCTTTGTTTGGTCTGAAGTTCTGGGAGTGTGAGTTCTACGCTCGAGCGAAGGTTTTATCGCTCGAGCGGTGTAGTGTCTCTGACGCTCGAGCGGTCTGTTCGGGGATCAACACTTTAAAAAGTCATTTTTTGGTCACATTTAGATCATTTTTCTCTCTCTACTCTCTTTTTTCTCTATGTCCGAAAATCCTAAGCTTTTAAGCTTGGGTTTCATCTTCTTCCACTCAAAATCTCACCCTAGTTCCATATACCAAAATGTAGAGCACGAAGAAAGCTTTCAAGCAATTTGAGCAGATTGTGTTTTCGTCAAAGTTGGATTTTCAAGCTTTCTCCTCTTCTTGCTAGAGGTAGGGATTTCTTTTCTCATTCTCAATACTTCCTTATAGATAGACATGTGATATATTTCTATTGCATAAAAAGCATGATTTAGTTATGTGATTTCAAATTCATGAAAAGGAGATTTTGGGTTTGAGTTGTAGAAAGTGAAATTGTATATTTTTGGAAGGTGATGGTGTATTGGAAGGTAGTCTATCTTGTTTACGTTACGAACAGAGGAAAAATCCTAATTTTTATTATTAAAGGTTTGATGAAATGAAAAGGGAAAAGTTAAGTAATAGTTATGTTATGTATTATGTGGATGGTATTAATGTAGTAATTGTTAAAAAGGGGGTTAACTGATATATTAAGATTGTTTTAAGAAATATATGTTGAGGTGAGTTGAGTTAGGTTGAGGTTTTGGTTAACTATGGAATCAAGATTATTAAAAAAAGAAAATGAATTTTTAGAACATGGTTGGAGTATTGTGAATTGGGAAAATAAGGAAATTGATTTTGAAAAGAAAATGAAATTATAATTCTTTTGTACATTGAAAATAAATGAGAGGTTAGACATTTGAATATTTGATATATGTTATTGCTGTTGTTGGGATTATGTCCTATGAGATTTGGCTGGTTGTAGTTATGCGTATTAAACATATGTGCTTAGAGGTTTTGTCCTTGGCCATCGGTGGAGGATGACATTGACGTGTTGAATAGATTATGTATATGTATTACACTTGTGTTATTATGCTTTTAGCATGTCGTAATGGTTGGTAATGTACACTGCGTAGAGAATGAGAGGTACCATTACCTTCCAACTAGCGCTTGGAGAATTGGTTGTGCTTAGAATGAGAGGTACCAGTACCTTCTAGCTAGCGCCTGGAGAATTTAGCAGAAGTACCATTCCCTTCCAGCTTGTGTCTGGTAAATTGGCAGAGGTACCATTACCTTCCGCCTTGTGTTTGATAAATTGCTGTTTAATTGAGGAAATGTGTGTCCTTGGTTTACCGTGCTTAAGACAGGTAGAGCATGGATCGGTGTTTCAGTGATGAATCGGTTACCTGTGTGTATTATATATGGTAATGGTTATGGTTAGATAAGGTCGGGTTGTCTTATGTGATAGTGTAGTGGTCATTGCACATGTATTGTTTTTGTATTTGTGTTAAGATATATATGTATGTACATAGGCGTTTTGGACGAGTTGTTGAAAGTGTTTCTTCACCATGGGCTTAAGGCCGATGAATGTTATGGACGTACTAGAAATGAACAAAGGTCATGTATTAGGGCATAAGTAATGAGAAGTAATCGGGGCTTTTGTGAACATATTTTAGACAAACCAGTTGTTATGTGATATTTATGAAATGAGAAAGAAAAGTGAATCTTTCGTGTGTTGAATAAACTGAATGATTTTGAAAAAATGTACTTATATAAGTATACTTTGGTTCTAAATCATCGCATTGTTTATATAGTATGATATGAAACATTCATGATTATAACTATCTATATATTGTTTTTGTTTAAGATCATGTTAGAATCCCTAGGACTTTATGTTCATCTCACGTTGCTAATCATTTTCAAGTGTATGTTGAGAAATGGCTCAAGATTAAGGATCTTCTTTAGCTGTTAGCCATGGGGCCTTTAATTGTTGGCGGAACGCCGTTGTTGTAAAAAGGTTAATGTAATAGTGTTAGCCTACGGGCAATTTATTTAGTTGTAATTCATGTTGTATTTCAATATGTACATGCAATGAGAGGACTTTTGTGTATTTATGGATGTTTGTGGACTTGTCTCTATATTGTATCAATGAAAATGGACTATAATAATAGATTTGGTGATATTAACCGTGTAATAAAAAGTGGGGCATGACAACTTGGAGACAAGTCCACAAACATCCAAATAGATGAAAATGTATGTGGATGAAATTCAAGAAATAAGGGTAGATTTTGATTCCAAATAGATGAAATTCAAGCTTGAAAAGCTTAGAGGCTCAACAATGGTGAAATATGAGAGAGAGGGAGAGAGAGAGAGAGAGAGAGAGTGTATGTGGAAAAGTGAGAAAAGAGAGAGAAAAAGGTCATTTTTATGCGCATATTTTGAACAGATTGCTTGAGTGCTCAATCCTATGCTAGAGCAGTGAAGACAAAATGAACGGACCACTCGAGCGTTCATTCTTGCACTATAGCAATGAAAGAAGACTTGCAGGATCTCAGACTTCTGCGGAGCAGACCGCTTGAGTGCTCATTCTTGTACCTGAGCGAACTGTGCAAATCAACCCGGTGCTCAAACTTTAAATAGACATAACTCTCTTGCCTGAACTCCATTTTAGGCAATTCAAGAGTCTAAAATGAAGCCTCAACAAGAAGCTATCTAATGGTTAGATTCTTACACCAAGGTTCAAAATGTGGGAAGAGAAAAAGTCAAAAGAGAGAAGATTCAACAAGAAACAAACATCCGAATTTAGGTCTCGATTCAAGTTTCACTTAGTCGATAAGATGATACACCAACCAAAGGATTTCAATGACAAAATAATACAAGTAAATGCATTCCCAATAACTTATAAAGCACAAGTGTTGTACAAGCCCACTTTTTAAACTCATTTTCTAGACCTAATAATGTGTAAACAAAATGGTTTGATTGATGATTGAAAAATAAATGAGAGAAAGTTGACTACATATTTTAATAGATGAGTCTAGAAAATAAGTATAATTTTTAAGCCTAAATAGCAATACTCATTTAAAAATTGTAACTTTTTTATTTTTAATTTATCGTGTTTGTTTCTAAAAAAAAGTAGATAGTTTATCTTCAAAAATACACCTGTCCAATTTTTTTGAGATAAAGGAGATAAAATAAAATAAAAAGTTATGATTGTCGAATCAATCTAATTTTTTCTAGTGATCTCTAGTACCCTCGTGACCGCTAGCAACCCTCTGATCACCACATCCAGCGCATGATGACCATCCTGATTTGAGAGAAATCTATTTAAGAGGCCTCATGTTGGCTCAAACTAGAGCAACTCGCACCATACGATGGTCGCACTGAAAATTTGTCCACTATATTCATCAGTTCAAACTACTTTCCTAGTACTACAGCCAAACAAAATATACTATACAAGAAATCACAACAAAGATTGATATATGTATATATAAAATATTTTACTGTACTTTATGTACACATGAATAAATCATATTCAACACGTCAAACAAAAGATAGAAATACATTAACTATAATACATCCAACACATGAACATGAAACTTGGGCAGGACAAGCATGCACGATAACTTGGTAGTGCACATGTAATAAGCGATAATTCATATCCCAAATCGAGCCTTGAAAATGAAGAGAGTTAGCTAGATCTCCTCAACATCTCCAGGATAGAGTCTGCATCCCGAATTTCCTGACTATCTTGAGACTCCTCATTCCCTTGAGAGAAATCAGCACTAGTGTAAGTCCGAATACCAGGGCCATGTCCATTACAATCTCTCTCTCTTCCTTGCTGTGCCCGTCTCACTTCCTTTTGATGCTCAGTAAGTTCGCGCCTTTTTCTTTTGGGACACAAAGACTGCTTATCATTGTAATCAATACCAGTCACTTTATGTTCAACTAATTCTACTCTTTTGGAGCTCATGTTATGTGTTGCAGTCACCCTATATCTCGGTGGAGCCGAAAATCCAAGGCTTCTCTTGCAAAGACTTATTTTTCGATTCCTGGATAGCTTATCCAAGACAGGAAGTAAGCTTTGTGGGTAATCTAACTTGACCTCTGTGGCAGCATACGTGCAATTCCAAAAGGTGATTGCAGGCTCGGAAATTGAGGGGTTTGGGTGGTCAAGTGTTGTTTCAAGGAGAGGTGCTTGGAGTTTAAGAAAGGAGGAATCAAATATTATTGGCGGGTGACTCCTCCGCAAACAATTGAGGGTTTCGGTCCAAAGTAGTTGAAGTTGATGATTGGTGTCTTCACATGGTATTTCTGTGAATGATAGCCACCGAAGAAATTGATTTGATATTATCTGAAAAAGAAACATGAAATAGAAAACAAAAGGAATCAATAACCTGTACCAACAACATAGACAAATTGAAAACTTAAAGAGTGACTATAGGCAACTATAGCAATTTTGGCTAGTTCAGATGTCCTTTTTCAGGGAAGATATGATTAAAGTTGGAGATGGAATGGTAAGAAGCACAAACACAGACTAGCGATACGACACGACACGACACAAACATGTGAGAAGACAATTTTTGGAAAATGTAGGACACAACACGTGGAGGATACACACAAAATATGTATATATCAAAAAAATAAAAATAAAAAAATACACACAATATGTAATTTTTTCATATTTATTACATATATATCGTTCAAGGATAATAAATTATAAAAAAAAAATGCAGCACAACATTAATTCCTATAAATTTACTTCTCTTTTCTTTTTTAATTTATTGGATCCTTAGATTCAAACTGAAATATAATTAGTTTCATGTGTACCTAAGCGATTGAAACGTGTTCCTTTAAGTGTCTGGGACTAAAAAAAATAGGACACGTTTGAATGAGTGTCAGACAAATGTCTAGAAAGTGTTGGTGTCCACACAGACACGCCACTCTCTTAAAAGTGCCTGTGCCTCTTAGGGTAAATTATATTTACAAGTTCCAAAATGGGCCAACCTTGCAAGGAAAGGCAAGTGGCTACCAACTCTACTATGATATGGCTTCAAATCATTAAAAAAATAAAAATAAATAAATAATCATGTAAAGCACATTTACAAGTTTTCTCACTATGTTTTGTTGCATATAATTATTTTGGTAGTGTGCCATTGTGGAAAGGAAGAAAATTACAAGCAAAAGATGAGAACCTGGATGAATGAAAGAATATCTTCCTTCAAGTGAAGCCAGCCTACGAAGCGCACCAATGCTGAGAAAACTCTGCAACTCTCACATTCAATAAGACACGGACACATTACAAGTATCATGCAAGAGCTGAACAAGTATGAAGAGCAGCTTTTCTAACTTACCTTGAGATTATAGCAAGATCATTTGGTGCATTTGTTTCTGCCATCATCCGTGACAGCGTCATGAATCTGCACAATGCCACATGAAATATGGCAACAATTAACATTGTGGAGTCAAACATAGCATGAAAACTGCAATAATCTTCATTTGGTTTCCATTATATGAGTTAATTTTGCACCAACAACAAGGGGATGATTACCTAACCACCCTATAATAAGAACTTTCATATATTGAATTCATTTTCAGCAAGCAAATACAGCACTCACCTAGCAACAAATCCCAAGCTATTATTGATGCCACTGGATCTCTTATAGTCACCATCTTTTCTGTCTTTGCTTCCTCTAGAACTGATTCCTGAATTAAGAATATGTTCCAAAACACAAATTGCAACATTTCCACATAAAGAAAGGAGGTTGATATCCTGATCGTTGTTGCTTGGATTAAGCACAGTGCCACACTCAAACACCTTTGTGTTTGCATCTAGGCACCCATTTATTGTTAATGACAGATCATCAGCAAAACTATTCAAGGTGGAACTCTCGAAACCAGAGGCACAATTAACACAAACATAGAGCGACTTCCAGACTTCAAAAACGCATTCAAGCTCAAGCTTCCTTTGAGATTGTAAGGAAACAATAGATGATTCCTGCAGTCCAGTACTTTGCACCATTGTCGATTGCTTTTGAGGACAGGAGCATACAGCAAACGAGTAGGACAAGATTTGGCATACTTCTAAACAGCAGAGGCTATCAGACTCCGTTTTCAAAAGCGAAATATCCTTTGCTTCATCTATGTAGTCTTTTAGCCCACTTGCTATTGCTATCCAGATCTTTAAGTAGTCAAATCCCACGTGTTTATACAGTAATCCAATAATAGCATGGAGAATTTCGGAAGGGTCAAATGAAGATAACACGAACTTCAAATATCTGCAGGCATTCTGCAATATGAACTCTTCTCCTGGTGCATTAAAAGTTGACTTAAACACCCCGCAGAAATAGAGTATGATTAAATAAACAATTGGCGAAACCATATCCATGTACATTGTAAACCGGACTCCAAGTACCCCTGCATGTGTAGCCTCATTAACTGACTGCAAGTAGTCAACATATTTGAGGTCTAATGCTATCTTGTAAATAGGGGATCCAAGAATAGAAGGTTCTAACTCTTCAATGACAGCCTCCACAAATTGGAGGGAAGTATGAAGCGAGTCATTAATGTCGCCGTTTTCTGAATTTAAATCTTTATATATCTCCTTTACCAACCCTAAAATTGTATTCAAACACAACATAACCTCATCATAATTAATTGATGAGTTTTTTAACACATTCCGAACTCCTTTCAGGACAGATTTGAATATCCTCAAGGCAGAATTACATGCCAAACTCTTGATTTCCTTGGGAACAGTCACCATTGATCCTTGACCTTGACTGATGAGAATACGGATCATCTTTATGCAGAAGTCCAAGCTATTCAGATCCCATGACAACCATTTAATGGGATAATGCTTCCATGAGCATTTAACAGATACTGGAGGTCCAGTAGTAGGGGTTTTAGCTGATGGTTCATAATTTACCTGCTTATTTAAGTCATCATCCAAATCGCTACTTCTTATCAAAATAAAATCATCAAGCAGATCTAGGCAGATATTCCATAACCAGATGCTCTTACTGTCGGGTCCAACCCGGAACACTGCATCAAAGATAGGCTCACAAACAGTTTTTACCATCGAAGGGCAGTTGACAGAGGTATCAAGCTTGTGCAGCAGATAACACCACGTGTTTAGGCAGGATGAGTGAACTGATATAATACATTTACTTGTCATGATACCTATTATAGGAGTCATTATGAGTTTTACACTCTTAGAAAATCCTTCTCCTTCTCTTCCACTATTATTCCCTTCACATGTCCTCCCTTGCTGAATACCATGCTCAGCTACCATATTCATCTCGGGAGCTCTTATTGGAGGTTGAATGAGAGCATCAATCAAGCCTTCCCAAGCAACCTGCAATTTGGAGGTGCATAGTTCATTTCCAAAATACCCAAGAAAGAATTGACTATATTATTCAGCATATTAAAACATCTTTGTTTAGAAATAAATTCTAGCAAGGCATCAAGTGAGATAGGTCAGTAGTACCCTTGAGACACTGAATTAAGAAATACACAATATGCACATATCAAGTACTTTATTGTTAGTAAAACTATATTTGTTGGAACCAGTGGATGTCAGGATTAACTTCATCGGTCTGGCTGGCATTAAATCTTAGGTCGGTCTCAGGCTAGAACAAAACTAATGTCAACAATTTGTGCCTGGCCTAGCATTCCTCCCAATACTTTGGGTGGAACAACTGAGCTGGGTTGACATTGGCTAGAGTATAATTGATTCATTCCACATCTTAGACTGTCATCATCACCATATTAATTGTGGTTTTTTGGGAAGTGGGTTCTTTTTGTAGGTTTTTTTAGTTGTAGGATATTATTGGAGAAATTTTTTTTTGTGTTTAAGAAGATAGTTGGGTTTTTTTGTGGTTGGATGTGATGTTTGTGAGAGAAAAAGTGAAATGATTATGGGGTTTGATGTGATATTTTGTTTGGGTTTGTTTTTTTTTGGTTTTGTAACCAATTTGTCTTTTAGTGAAAAAAAACAAAAAAATCCTTCCCAAAAACCGCCATTGTCTTCCAGACTCTTGTGAAATGCGCAAGAGTACCAATACATGCAAATTTCTAGGAAGTGCCACATGAATCTCACAATTTCTTTTACATTAGATAGTAGACATGTCAATTCATTCATTTCAGATACATATGTTGAACCCTTGACCTCTATCAATTAAGTCTCCTACGCATTGTTGTCAAATCGGGATATGAATCGTGTATCGTTTTTTAATTTTTCTGAATCGTGTATCGTATTGTGTATCGTAAGATACTTTAATACCTTTAGAAATAGGTTGAAAAATAAATATAGTTATAAAAAACAAGTATCTTATGGGAATAAAACACTAAACCATGTATAATTCCGTCAATTACAAAAGCAAGTTCCTTAAATTAAATACATACATGCAACAATACATATTATCTTTACAAAGCATAAATTAATAACGCAAGATTCTTAAACCATACAATAGATATGTCAAAAAGGTCGAGAAATAAACTAAAAAGTACCATTCTCATATCAAAAATAGCTTTTATTTTTTAATAGGTTAATGAAAATTTTCGACAATATTAATTCACATAAATAATTTGAACATTTTTTTTTTCTTCAAATTTGCTAAAGAAATTTAAGTATTTGTGTAACTGTTTGCATTCTTCAAAATTTCCTGTTGCCACTCAAGAAATCCTGTAAGTGTGAACACAAAAAATGATTGTTGATTGAATGCGGGTGTGCTAGAACTTGTGAACCTAGTTCGAAGTGTAGGAATTGTTGACCATTTCTGACTTCTAACACAGAGAAATGACTATGTGTGGCTAAGATGAACCGCCACTGGTTCGGATCTTGCCCCAATGAAGAGGACTTTTAACAAATTTAAAGGTGCCAAAAGATAATTAGACTAAAATTGTGACTTGCATGGATTGGAAATGAAGTACAATTGGTAATCTAAAACAACTAAGCTAAGAAGCTAAAGGAACTGAGCCATGAAGCTATGAAAGGAAAGTTATGAAGCTAATCTAAGGTAATGAAGCTATGAAACTAAGATAAATGCGCTATTGAAGCTAAAATGAATTGAAAGACATGTATTGAGAGACTCTTGGTCGAGTGTTTGGTCTGGGACCCCTTTAATGTTGCACTTGGAACCCTTTATATAGTGTTGGGAAAGTCCCAAATCATGCTTAACTGCTTTAACCATGGCAGCCAATCCTGGTGACATGCGTCCTTGATACTAATCTCCATTCCCCAAGAGTAGGAACGACTTTGATCTTCAAATGCTAAGGCCTATACTTATCACATTGACTTGGTCCATCAAGCTTCCATAGGCCACCATGTGTCCCTCAAGAATCAAACTTGAATTTATTCTACTTGATTTATGGAAGAACATCTCCTTTGTTGTTGCATGGATTTCCTTCTCTTTGCTGTCCACGCCTATACTCAAGGAATTCTGTGAGAACCCGAATATACAAATAAAATAAATCGTTAAATAATAATTATTTTACAAACCTCAAATATTTTACTTGTGAATCTTAAGGTGCAAATTAAATATTACTGAACGATCTTTTAATTAATTTTAAACCTAAAATAAATTTATGGTGAAAGTCTTTGATTTAGAGGTAAGATTTATTATTAAAAAAAAAAAAAATAGGGGGCAAGTTAGTAAGTATATTTTGATCTAATAATAAATAATTAAATAATAATTTAGAGTCTTTTAGGTTTAGATATATAAAGCAACCCTAGTTTTCCTAATAAAAACCCTAACTCTTATTATAATTGTTTCCACAACACTTTCAGCACCTAGCAACCACGGGAGAGGGACAGGGAGAAACTTCCAGCACCTTTGTGGCTCAACAACTCTAAGGTAACAATCAATCTATTCTTGTTCTATTATAGTATGTTGTTTACATAGTTATGGTGCATGTGGGTGTTGTGAGTTGTTGGAAGAAAAATGAACGGTTTGAATGATTGGGATAGTGTGTTGTGTGTATTATTATCATGCAAAATTTTAAAGCGAATTAAGGAGCTAAAGTCGTTGGATAAGAATTCTGCACAAAATCACAAACTTTAAAAATTAAGAAATCATATCAAACAGATGAATTTTGAACTGAAATTTTTATAGTAGCTTAATTACACGTTGAAATTCATACAAGAATTTTCTCATAATTTTTGGGAGTCAAAATCCATATAAACTGATGCCTAATCTGTCCAGGAAACTAATACAAAACAGTAACTTCGGAAGTGTCGTTCTCTTTGGGTATAAATCCGAAAATTATCAAATCAGCGTCAGTAGAACCGGTTACGAGTTTAGTTTCTTACATTTTTGGCCTTACATTGATTGCTCGTGTATACTAAAAGAACCATTAATTTCTTTGAAGTGCTGCAGAAAGTGACCTGTTTGGATATAATTAATTGTAAATAATTATTTTGATAAGCAAATTAAGTAAAACCAATTGAGTTTGAAACTTAGGATATATTAGTTGATATCTGGAGGGTTTTGGAATTTTTTGAACAGTGTAGAGTGGGTTTTTAATTTTCAAAGTTAGCAAATAAATTGAAAAAACTTATTTAAAATTCTGTTTTATCTCAAAGTCACAATTAAGTTTCGATCTGAGCCCATGTCATGAGTAATTTGAGACCTTGAAGAACATGAACTTAGGTATTATTTAAGAGTAACGGTGAGTGGAGTTGAGCTGTGTTAGTGCACTTTAGTGTCGGGTACTTAGTTTATTATTATTTTTAGTATTTTTGAATTAGTAGTGACATGTAGTTTTCGTACTTGGTTCAGGGCACTAGTTGGACTTTCATACTTTATTCGAGGATTATATTATTCCTTTTTCAGGTGAGTAGTTACAGGCTACATATTTTTATAAATGTTTCCCTACCCTGAACTATTGGAAAATTAAATTGTTGTTTCAGGACTAAACTGTTTTGATAAATTATTATAGTATCAATGGAATTCAATTATAACATAAATATGTGTAAACTTGGCATACTGTAAACTATTTGTTATGATTTCATATTTATAATGGTGAACTACCATGTTTTAATTGTATTGATTATTGGGATCATCTGTATATAAAAATCTTGGAAATTTATTTCACTGTGTGTGGTGACTCTGGCCACTAGGGAATAGATCTGGGTTGAGCTGTGATGACTCTAGTGCTCAACGATTGTAAGGAAAAGACCTGAGTTAGGCTAGGTGACCTTTAATCGGGATCATCTTACAGAAAAGGCTCAGGTTGCTACCCCGAGGATGACTCTTGATTCGATATTGGATCCAATGGACTTGTTGCCTTGAAAATTTGTGGCATGTTACTTGTTATTCTTGGTACCCAGAAAATTATTGATGATTAGGTTGCAATCCGTTTTAAGTGGAGAATGTCATTTGTTATGTTCTTGAGACACATGAGTATTTTTAACCGTTGAACTGTGGAACCTTCTTTTTGAAACAAATTGTCTTTATCAAAACTGTATGGTAATCTAGTTTTTGCGATATATATCTTATTTTGGAATTGAACCCTGTTTTCAAAACTATAATTACTATCCATGTTGCTACTCACTGAGCTATCAGCTGACTTAGTTGTTTAACATTTTCAGGTGATAGAAGGACTTAGAGTGAACTCATGGCGTAGCAGGGACTCAATAGCATGGACCTCTAGGACATTCATTTATTTTGTTTTAGCTTGTTATGTCGGTTTTGTGCATATATTGTGGTTAAGTTTTATTTAGAATTATTTTATTTTGTGGGTGGTATGTGTTCAATTTAGTATATATTTTTGGAAGTTGGTTATGGCTGGTTTTACCATTTATACTTGTGACATGTCATTGGATTGAGTTTTGGTTTATTTATTACTAGACTATTGTTACATTTATTCGATGTGATTATGGATTTGTGTTTAGGCTTACGTGTGCCTTGGGCTAAGGCCCTGTGGGCCACAGCCGGTCATGCCCGGGTTTGGGGTGTGACAAATTCAAATAACAATCTTGCCTTACTTAGAAAATGATTCCTTGATTATAGCTTATTTTGATCTTTCATGCCATCTCAAGCTGCCATGCGTCCAAAGAAAATCAATTCACCTTGATCTTGGGACATAACGGCTCTATCTTTGTAGCTAATATGGAAAATCTCCACTCTTATAAGCCTAATCACTTATCAACTTAGATAAGGCTCCAAGATACGAGATAAGCCTTAATAATAGGAGATGAGGGTTTAATTTAGGGGATAAGCCTCCAAGAGATAAGCCTCAACAACTTCCTAGTTATTAGGAATGGAGGCTTACCTTATCCAATCAAACCAAATCTTAATTAATTAATTAACCAAATAACTTGGCTAATTTAATTAATTCCAGCTGACATTTCCTCAACCTTGGTGGTGGGTCCCACGAAATCTTTTTATCTTTCACTGCCATGTGGCACCAATTATTGGGAACATTGCCACGTGGCAATTTTTGCCAAAAAGGGTACAAACACTAACATACGTATCGCATTATGTATCGCGCATCATATATCACATCACGTATTGTATATGTATCATAAGATACATTTAATTTAAGATACGCATTGATGATAGTATCGATTTCCTTTTGAAAGGTATCGAATCATAAGATACGAATCGTGAATCGTAAGATCAACACTGCTCCTAGGACTAAACTAACCACTCACCATCATCCTCAGGTTGCTGGTTGTGAATGGCAAAATTGGATACGGAAAGAGGCTAAATACATCCTTCCTAGTTATGTTGGCAAAGGTTTTGGACACAACTAGATTTGTGGGAAGGCATAAAAAATATTTCAAAATACAATCATGTTTAGCATTCAAAGTGATCAGAAATAACAATGTTTAATTATCAAAAAAAAAAAAAAATACTTAACCTATCAGGAAATGAAGGAATACCAGTGAAGCAATCTGGACTTGCGGGTCTACGTCAGACAATGTCTGCTCTGGGATTTTTAGCATCTCATTGACCAAATGCCTATTCTTCACAGAATAAGGTCCTAATAGGCGAATAAACCATCCCCATGCTTGAATAGTTTGAATCTTCATACCATGGTTTAGCAGCTCTTTCATCCCAGGAAGCAATTTTTTCTTCATATCTGTGACAAGGACCTGCTCAAGAAATAAGAATGTTACATGAATTTGTACAAGTGCCAAGTGATGTTGCAAAAATATTACTGTCTAAAGCTTACTTCTTGAAACTCTACTCAAGGTAATGATCATGAAAAACATGTCAAGGCTCAATAATGTAACCTTGAACTTTTACACCTAAAAGTGTGGCAAGCATGAACGTAATGCATAAATAGAAATGTTACAGCTTCCACCAATACATTTGACACTTGCATTATTTTCCACTCACAACTAGAACTGCCATAAATGAATGTCAACTTATTCAGAATTGTCTACACTCATTTGATGCCCTATCTCATGATAGAGTTGGGAAGGTGTTCATATTGGACCATCGGAAGGGATAATGTACCACTAGCCTACATAAAGGATTTGGAAAACAAGATGGTGAACCCTCAATTGGTAATTTTTGTTCCATCCTCAATTTGGGAAGCTGTAACATAATTTATTATGAAAATATTACCAGTAAAAATCATATGTATTTTCAAAGATTTAAATTTCTAGATTTCAACATAATTACATTAAGTTCATTGTCAATTAATCATATTTCAATAATTATTCATATTGTAATTCTTCACCTAATCAGATGCGCCAACAATTTTAGTACCACCTCTTACTTAGCTCCATTTGTTGTCTGAGGAAAGCTTAGATTTACTATATTGTTGAAAACATAATTCTCAAATCATGACTGTGCATCAACATTTGCGGAGTGTGAGCACCAGGCTACTAGTTGAACCACCCAGTCAATTATTAGGGCTAATAAATAGTAAATATTTTGTGATGTGACAGTTGAATTTTGTGACAAGGCAATAAGGTTGAATATGGAGAAATCATAAAGACAAAAAAGATAAAAGAAAGAACACAAAGGTTTAACGTGGTTCGGCCAATATTGGCCTACATCCACACACACAAAGCCCTATGGGCTACATCTTTCATTCACTCAACATGATACTCTTGTTTACATGATACACCATATATATGGAGTGAGAGATACAATCAAATCCCTTCAATTAAGCGATTAAAATAAATAAAAAATATATAAAATCATGATAAGCATAAATCATGGGATCTCCATATATTCTAATATCTTTAATAATATAATCTCATCACCAATAGTGACATAATTTTAGTGTGCACAATCAAAGATTGTTTAAAATATAAAAATAAGAAAGAAATGATCCCATGTAAATTTCTAGTTCAGCAATAACACTTGGATTCTGCATTAAAAAAGTTTCAAGTCACATAGTTACACCAAAAGTTTTTTGTTTTCCACAAAAACAAAATAAATACAGAACTGAAATTTTTTAATATATAATTAGTATTGCTGAAGTACTTTATGTCAGTGAACTTTAAAAACTGAAAAGCTAGGATTTAATTTGCCCCTTAAATTCAAAGTTAAAATCATATTACACTGATCAAATTCAACGTTCAGTGATAAGACATGTCTGATTGACTTAATATTCAAACCTTTTGTAGGTAGATTTTGGGTTCTCAATGTGCATTGTGAAACATACTTACTAGAAAATCCACTGGAAATCTCTTATACTTAAGCACCTAATGGTATTATCTAATTCCTAACACTGTTTTCGATTCAGCTAATCATGCATAACAACTTATATAGAAGGTTCAGTGAGGCCAGTAAGGAGTTAGGAGCATTTTCTACCGTTCAGTTCCTTGAACAGTCTAACGGGCAAAGCATGCTGGATTAGTTACTGGGTGTGGGGACATAAATAACCATGCAGAACAGTTTGCACAGAAGGTTCGGTTAGTTCAGCTAAAAGCATTTTTTATGTTCACTTCCTAGAATAGTCTAATAGGCGAAGCATACTAGACTAGTAGCTGGGGCGGATCATTATGTGCCGGGGTGTGGGGGTGCTAAGATTATTATGAGCAATACTTCGAGTGATAACTGCAGAGTGCAGTCACTGTCACTATTGAAGCTCCTAGTTCAGCCCCGGTCCACGAAATTTGATCTATTTAAAGGGTCTAAAAGAAACCAAGCCAAGATCTCCTTTTAAAGTGACTATCAAATGTGAAGCAATGCTTGCAGCCATCTGTACCACACCACAGCAAAAACATCTATGGTCGTCCAGGATAACTCTCAGCAATCGACAGTAAATAAAACTGTGTATTTGACAAACAGTGTCCCATAATTCTACCAAATGTTCTACTAGAGGATGTATAGGGCGTATAATTTCAAGAGGTGATCCTCTTGCCATACACAAGTGAACCAGCCAGGTCCGCACACCAGTTTGGCTAGTCGGGCTGCGCCATTTCTAGCAAGCATGTTATCCATTATATTGTGATATTAATTGACGAGTTTGTGTATTTTTCATTTTTAGTTTTTTAAATACATTTGTGCAAAAAAAAAAAAATTTATATAGGTACTGTTGTCTAAATTCAATACTTCATTAAATATCAACGCAAATATAAGAATGTGTAACTGTGAGACTTGAGCCTCCCAACTCAGTATTGATGTATCACACATTTGGAGCATGTCTCAAGCTTTCATCTTCAAAACAATTTGTTGCCTGTTGGCAAAATAAAGTTAAATTTTTTTGAAAGTTTAAGGAGGTACAACTAAAAATTCTTATTTAGTTGTTACAAAACGGACTATAGATCAGCTCTCCACAAGGATTCAAAGGATTAGGAGTTTCCCTTATGAACAACTTGATGCACTGTCTCCCTTCAACCCTTTGAGTGAAACAGTTTGAAACAAAAAAAAAAAAGTGAGTTTAGCATATAACCTTATTTCCATTATCAAACATTTCCTAAACTCTTGCACACATGCGCACTGTTAAGTGTTATAGTTATTTTAGTCTAAGGGTAGTTTTGGTACTTATGTAATTTGTGCTTATTAGTACGCATAAGATGTAAACCCTATGTCATTTAGTAATAATATTACAGCTCTCTCTCTCGTTTTCGTTCTTCTTCATCTGTGAAACTAACATGGTATCAAAGCAATATATTCCTCCTTGAAGATTGTTTTTTGTTCTCTTGTTCTTTTTCTTTTTCTTTCGTGTTTTAGTGTTTTTTCTGTAGCATATTCAAAAAAAAAAATGGGTTAACCCTAGTCTTAAAATCAGACCTAGCCTTAAAATCACAGAGTCTGATGCTTGGTCACAAACCTAGCCTTAAAATCACTACATCTCTATTTAATGGTCAGAATTATCTTGCTTGGTCACAGAGTCTGACGCTTTTTTTAAAGAGTCAGGGAAAGATGGGTTATGTTGATGGGAGAATCACAGCACCTGGCATCACTGATCTTGGATATGATCAATGGGAGATTACCAACTCTTTGATCATGGGGTGGCTCATTCATTCCATGGTTCCTGAGATTGGTGAAGGTTATTTATCTATGGAGATAGCCCAAGATGTTTGGGAGGCAGTAGCTGCTACATATTCTCGGAAGAGGAATTTTTCTCTATCATTTGAATTGTGCAGGTCTATTGAGCGCTCACTACAAGGGGAGCACACAATTCTTCAGTGTTACACCTTTTTGAGTAATGGTTGGAAACGCCTAGATCATCTCTTGGACTACAAGCCTATCTGTACAGTTGACTCAGTTGGTTACTAGAAGTTTCTTACCCAAGAGAGAGTTTTCAAGTTTCTAGAAGGCCTCAATATGGAGTTCGATCCAGTCCAGAGTCCTGTCCTTGGCATGGACGTTCTTCCATCTCTTCAGAAAGCCTTTGCTTATGTCCAGAATGAAGAGTCGCTGGTTAGCTATGTTACCATCAACTCCTACAGACCGTTCAACATTACTTTCTGTACCTTCTCGAGATGGGACTGGTTTGTCACTTCCTTCCCCTCATCCTTTCGGGAAGGATAATTTGTTCTGTGATTACAGAGGCATACTCGTGGGACTTGTTGGAAACTTCATGGTACTCCATCAGGGGGTTGAGGGGATCGCTTTGGTCATAAAGGCGGTCGTTCTAGTCAGTCAAGAGGATGTGGGTCTCACTCTCATGCTCATCAATCCAGTGTTGTAGCAACACATGATTCAGCTCCGGTTATGCAGACTTCTGATTTGGTCTCTGGTATGTCATCTTTTGCGTTTGAGGATGCTTTGTGCAATTTGCTTGATCACCAGTCTCCTATTCCTCCAGGTGCATCTTTTGCCTCTTCTTCGTTTGCCTATTTAGGTAACTTAGTCACATCTTCTAGTGCCTTTTTATCCCATAAGGCTTTGCCATGGATTATTGATTCGGGTGCCTCAGATCATATGTTTGGATCTTCTAATCTCTTCTCAGACTATACACCAGTCTCTGGATAGGATAAAGTTAAGATAGTTAATGGTACTATTTCTTCTATCTCCAAGAAAGGTTTTATCCATGCCACCCCTTCTCTACCTTTGTCTTCTGTTTTACATGTTTCTAATTTTTCTGTTAACCTATTGTCGTTGAGTTGTCTTACTCGTGATTTGAATTGTAGTGTAACTTTTTTCCTTGATTCTTGTCTTTTTTAGGACCTTATCATAAAGAAGAAGATTGGTAGTGGTAGAACAGAAAATGGTCTCTATTTCCTCGATCAGATTGACCAGTTGGCTCATTATTCCATCCAGACTCCATCCACCAAGAAAGATTTATGGCTGTGGCATTGGCGTCTAGGACATCCATGTTTTTATTACTTAGACATTTATTTCCTTTTGTTTTTATCAACAATAAAGTCTCTGAGTTTCATTGTGAGTCCTGCCAACTTGGCAAACAACAACGAGCTTCTGCTGCTTCTAGTAATTACAAAAGTTTAGTTCTTTTTTCCTTAATTCATTTGGTTGTTTGGGGCCCATCTCGTGTGATGTCAATTGTAAGAAATAATGTATAGAGAAAGAGAGAGAATAAATTGTATGTATTATTATTGATTGATATATTGATTTCTATTACAATGATTCATGATTCCTATATATAGAAGAGGGTGAGTGTGTAGTAGGTAAGGAGTAGGTGAAGTGGAGGTGGTAGTGGTGTAGTGGGTTAGGCTTAGTGGAG